AAATGATCAAATAACAAAATATATTTTTTATGAAGGCTTAATAGAGTTCCTGACCAGGATCATTTTTTAGGTAAGCTAGAAAACAGAACAGATTTCTTGACAACTGAAAATGTAGGTTTCTACCATTGATGTAATTGGTGTTAGAATTTCCAAATGTAACATACGTTGAGTGTGTAGTCCACATATGTGTATAGCCCACGTATCTCAGAACAGGTTACTTTAAAACTTTAGATTAGGAGGTAGAATTCTAAATGATATTAAAGAGACCGCTAACTTTTTTATTCTATAAAGCCACTGGATAAAAAACATAACTTCTGTTTCAATGGACTTTTTAAATCATTTTTAGCAGCTGGCCGATAAGGGGATCCAAACCCTTGACTATGGTGTTATCAGCACCACACTTTAACCAAGTGAGCTAAAGCTAGCCTTCTATTTTAATGGACTTTTAAATCAAATTCTTATAATGATGAAATAGAATATGGAGCTGAAAAGAAAGATGATCGTTTTACAAAATTGGATATGTGGTACTGAGCAAGTTGAATTATTACACATTGAAAAGCAAGTTTGATGAGTATGTTCTCTGCATTAATATCAATGTTTTAAACTTTCAGGTGGACCAGAGCAAGGACCAAGTGTGGAAGGTATTAATGTACCATCAAAGGCTGCATTAGGTAATATGCTTAAAACCGTATCTTCTTATTTAAAGCCTGAAATTCACTAAGGAAAAAATGACTCCTGTCTTTGCATTCTGCCTAGGTGTCACAACTCATGCCATTAACATAGCATTGTGACTAAATCTATTAATGAGATATTATTAAGCAAAAGATGCTGTTCTATTTTAACCAGCTTGATGATTATAAAATGCAGCAGTCTGTACACTCAGCCAAGGTTACTGTTGATGCTTTTGATTGGCTGGTTTACATTGGGCTGGTTTATATCCCCAAGATAAGCCGGGGTCGGAGCATCTACACCATTTCTATTTACTCAAGAACTCTTGGCATTGTCTTTTCTTTCTGATTTTATAATAGGTGAACTTAACCCTTAATTTTTCATTATCAGGGAATTATAATTTGAAATTGGTACATATTATATTGCGTTAATTGGAAAGCAGCTGTTTTGGTGAAAAAGAACTAAACTATTAGACACGTTCCTGACA